ATCTTACACAACTCAGTTCTTGGAAGCAAACTTTGCCTGTCTACCACATTTGAAATAATTTACCAGAAATAAATATTATTGTGTTGTTATTTTGACCCTAAAGTCAGTCAGTGAATTAACTCTGATCTTTACAAGAGGCAGGAATTTCATAATATAGAACGTGAGCTAGACTATATTAGACAGTGAAGTGTTTCCTACTCCTTTACGAACATATAACAGATACATAAAAAAAATGAATTGTATAAACAGAAGAGAATATATAGTACAATATTATCAAGAAGCTAAATAATCAACAAGGTTCTAGTATTTTCCCATGAAAGTGATGGGAGTGGGAACCCCTTCACCTTTTTTTTTTTTCTTTTTTTTTTCGTTTTTACCAAGTATCAATATTAACTCGAGTCATTACGTTGGCATAAGCGTTGATTTCGATAATTCTACATGAAAAAGATGATGCCTTCAATAAACGGTTGCGTGACAACAAAATGATAGTACTTTGTTGTTTGTGGAGTGGAACATCTAGGCCTACATTCTTTCTTGTGAATAGGATTTTGTTTTAAGCTCCTTGGTATGAAATATTCTATTGAATGCCTTTCAAAGTCACTTTGTATTGTCGTTATTTTAAAGTACATTTAGGTCAGTAATGACTATATGCCTATTCACATTTGACCTCTTGTTAGCAGAGTTATGTCAGTACTTATTGCTTTGGTCCAGTTCATGCTAGTAATAATAGTTAATAAGTGTTAAACCTATAGGTATTTTATGAAGATATTTAAGTACGACAGGTAGGTATTTATGATATAAGCTTACGGGTGCGATGTTAGCCATTGGTGGACAAATTACATCCCTTCCCACCCAACCCCCTCCCCATTCGAGCGTCTAGTTACAGAAATAATAATCCACATCATCCACGCTGAAACATATAATTTTTTCAAAGATAAGAGGTTATACCTCATTGTAAAAGGCATGTCTGGCCGGGTCCCCCATTGATAATTAATTTTGTAGCTTCAACTGATATGCCATTATGAAAAATATTTTAATATATTACTGGTATGCGTTAACATTTTTTGGCATACTCACTGAGTAAAAATTTGAGCAACGAAGGTCAACAAAAGGCATTTCTTATAAACTGCAGTGCTAGTGTTAACCTAACTTAAAACATTGTACCGCATTTGTTTGAATAAACGCCCGCTTTGAATAACACCCCTCTTCCCCACCCCCGCCCTCGAATAACTCCCCCTCCAGGGTCTCATTTGGTATGAACGCCTCCCTCGAATGAACGCCCCGAGGCGTTAATTTTTGTCGTCGAATAAACGCCACCTAAATGACTGTAAACAAATAATAGAAGCAACATCATTCTCAACACATTATTTTAATGTTCGAATCCAGTAGAATTACATTTTTTATAACCTGGTTGTGGTCAAAGTGCCCTCAAAAACCCTTCTCAACAATAAATGTCTCGGGGCGTTTATTCGAGTACAGTAATTACGGTATGTTGTTGTAGACGTGATTAAAGCATGCATGTTTTAAAACTCAGTTAATAATTAAGCAATTTAGACCCGTTGCCCCAAACGCAAGGAAGGCTACGAATTACACCTACGCGAGTTACCTCTGTCGATTACATCAAACGCAACCGTTATGCAAAACGTTGGCTGGCGCTGCCAGACAACGCAAGCCTCGCCGACTCAGCTAAATTTTCTGTGAATGAGACAAACGATCCGTTCCGCTAGGCCCCTTCCCTTGGATACATGTTGCAAATTTTTGCACGAAAGGATGGCATGAACGTACGTAATTTGTGGGACATGCGTATAGTTTTAAAACCCAAATTACAAAATCTAGTCTATTCCGTTTACATTTTGAAAGAAAACTGGTACGGTTTACCAAAATGATCACGTGAATATTTGGAAGTGTCGGTTTAATTATTTCCTTTCATATTATTTTTTAAAAATGCACAAATAAATAACGTAATTACAAGAACATAGAAACCTATGTTGGAAAGTAAGTTTAAGATAATCACCAATGTGAGTTTTCACAAAACACTGGCTCGTCCTAAACAAATCCCTAAAATCAATATAATAGGCATAGAGGCCTAAAACTATATATTAAGCTGTAGAGTTGTTCTATTTTGCTCGAATCGAGTTCTGACAAATTTAGGATGCGCAGATGAGTTGATACATTTTCAAAAGTAGAAGTCCTAGAGGGGGAGAATCTTGGCTTGTGGACCCCTTTGACGAAGACAATGACACTGACATTGATATTCTCTTTTGTGACAACTCGAGCCTTTTAAAAATAAACGCTGTCACGTGTCGTCTATGATCAAGAATTAGCAGACAGAAGATATTTTCAAATAATACACCTAAAATATGATGAGTTCACTGAGCGATCAGCTGTTGTTGTAAGCTTTGCATCATAACTTTGGTTCCGAGACACAGGATTTGACTCCTCCACGAGTTAACAAAAGAATTGGATAACGCGTTCTAGTTTAGTTCAAAGGGGAAAAAATATCAAAATCATTTAAAACGTGTGCTATTATAATCCACTCGACTTAAGCGGTGCATAATAGGATATCCAAGTTACTGAAAAGGGAGAGCAAAATCTATGATAACTATTCTTTCATGTTATGTAGGTCTAGGCCTATATAAAATCAAAAGGTGTTGGTCTCAGCCCCCAGAATGGTGTCAATATAATAGTTTATGAGATTATTTACTCACGCTTACAAGAAGTTCCACACGTCCGAAGTAGTTCATCATTATACGGTTTAGGTTCATTGGGAAAGGAGAATTCCTCTATGTAGGCCTACCATGGATCATTGCTAACTTGCACTGGAACCAATCATTCCGGACAACCAGTGGGGAAATACGCAAGAGGAGGCTTGTTTTAATTTATTGCACTGTTACTGTACTTTTTAACTTGTAAATCAATGATTGATGAGGCAATGGAAAAAAAGTTTGGATGGAGTAAAGGTGTAAGATGAACAAGTAGGCCTACTGCAGCATTGGGACAATAATTACAAAGAATATAAAGAATGACGAATAATACTTTTTTACTTTAAACATATTAGGACCACTGTCTGGTGTTGATAAAAAAATTTAACATTTCTTAAATTTGTGTATTTAAGTATAGTGTTCACTTTCAATTGAAAATTAGAACAACAACACATTTTATTCGACAATTAACTAACGCGTTAATAATACAAATTCAAATTTTCAAATTAGTTACTTCATCACATTCAGTATAAGACGGCTGATCTGAATGTCGAGAACTTTTGTATATTCATGAGCATCAATTGAAATGCGAGAAAGGATAACAAAAGTCTACTAAAACATCATATTCATAAAGAAAAAAAAACCAATGAAATATAATTTTAAAATCTAAATAAAAAGCACAGATATTAAACTTAACCGTACAGCATAGGATAAAAAAAGTCTATGTAGAGCTTGGCAAAAAAGCTATATATCCCTCTGCACAAAATGACTCGAATGTACGCCTATAACATCCTAGTTTCCGCATGCAAAGTAATGTAGGCCTACAAAAAAACTAGATAAAAACCGTGTGTCGAGCCACGGTCAAGGCCACACCGGACGTTTTGTATTAACGAAAAAGAAGTCAGACATTAATCCACTTTATTGTTATCCGTGAAATTGTAGTTTGAGGCAAGGAACACGGATGACTGATAAAGCGAATAGTGATGAGCTGAATGACAGAAATACGGTACTAGGCTTACTGAACCGATCTTTATAGTGCAACCTGGTCTTCTTCACTCCCATAAATCAATAAAATTTATTTTATTATCAAATTTTGTATTAAGTTTATCATCACTACTATTTACTTAAAATATTTCCTTATAATAGACTATATCAATTAACCGGTTTTATACGATATCAACGGCCAACAGGTGACGTGTGCGAACTTTACTTATATTTATACAATATTGTCGAACCTGGCCCTAACTGACTTATTTGTACTGTATTATTATTTTAAGTACTCATTGCCATCTGATGATCCAGGGGTTGCTCGGACAGCCTTTCCCCTGAATGATCCTCGAGCCACCACTAGTCTAACCCTCATATGTTATGGCACAGATAGGCATTCGTTAATGCTAAGGGTGGTAAAAGTCTGGTGGCAACAAGCTGGGTGGCAAATGGCCGTGTGCCAGGCCCGGGTTGTTGGCAACAGACCAATCGCAAAAGGCTTGTGAGTCGTGAAGAATCCATCCATTACACTCATTAGTCGATGTGTTTTAAGGATTAGCCGGTCAACTAATATATACCGGTAACTAATATATATATATAGATCCTCTAAGACCCACTCCTTATATATTGTTGCTAACTTCCCACAACTCGACAGCGTACACAAGCACGTGAGTTTGTGGGACAGATGCGCTTGTGGGACAATCGCGTACGATTATCCCTGTTCTGATTGATCCGTTAAGTTCCGACTACACTCTGAAAAGGTCCATTAGTTAGCAGGTCGCTGTTTTCATGAGAAAGTACATTCTTTGGGTGGCAAGAAACAAAATTACATTTTTTAATTTATTCTTGCAGCTTATCTTGTAAGTAAACATTGTATAGTACCACCCAGTGCTTGCCCGCTGCCTAGAAACAAGATGCTTACATTTTGACAAAAATTTAAGGATGATTACGATATCAACAATACTTACAAAGAAGCATCTTTAATTACCATGACTAAATTCAATATAGCTATGAGCTAAAAGCATACAGATTGAATTAAATGTTTGAATTACATGAAACTTCCTTTAAATGAGCAATTCAAAATTTCTTTGACTATTTTTTGTGGTTTTCAGACTTCATCATAGACTTTAATTCTTTAAACACTACTTTTATTCTAAGAGTCAAGTGAATCATTTAAATATTCATCGGATAATCCTGTGAGTTGGCCTTCTTGACGGCAAATCTCTCGCTTCAATGAACCATTAAGCTTATTGGCTCGTTGTATTATTTGTCAATGCGTCTCTCTCATATCTTTTAATGATGTATCCACAAACTAACAGTAGTTCATATTGCCGGACGTATCACGTATCATATCATTGTATTGGTCCGATATAAATAAAAAATATAGTTAGCCTACGTGGGAATTTTACATACAAATATTAGTATATTAGGAGAAAGTCAAATTTTGCTTCAACAATCTTTCAAAGAGTGGTAACATAACTTATCATCGCTGCTGTATTATGACGTCTGGAAAGAAGGAATCTGAAAGTGTTTGTTGTGGGTCGGAGCGATGTCCCTGCCCTAGCCGGTGGCCTAAGCACTTCGCAAGTATTGGTGCATTTGTCTCCTGTATGTGTGCAGTCAGTTTTGCTGATGCGTTTTTCCTCGGATCTATATCCAGTAGTATCACCACACTAGAGACACGCTATAATCTCTCTATATCTAAGGTAAGTCAAAATTGATTAATATATATTGTTTATTATGATGTGACTACATATGACAGTATTATATAGCAATGAGACATACTCACCATAAGCTAACACAAGTAGGTCATAAAATGTACAACATGGCATCACCAAGAGCATTTTGAAGAATATTTTTTATTGTTTTGCCAAGTGTTTTGCGTGAGGGCAACAATGGAAATAATTTTTAGCTTTTTGTGTTATCCTCGGAATTCTGTTTTATCGTGTTGTATGGTATTGCTGTACCGTATCTTGTATGAGTTAAATAAAGTCAATCAATCAATCAATCAATCAATCAATCAATCTTAGCTCTTAAGAGGTAGGCCTACTGTATGTTGTATCCTTAATAAAATTTATTTAATCTATGATTTAATGTAATATTTCAGACATCGATATGATTATAATATAGGAACGTTAGTAAATAATAATAACAAACGATAATAATAATAATAATAATAATAATAATAATGATAATAATAATAATAAATAATGATAAACATAATAAAAAATGATAATAGGGCCTAGTAATGACAATCATATTAATAAAAATCATGTTATGCTTATAATAATTTAGTATTATTAATATTACTTTTTGAAGCACCATCGGAAGTTGAATGATCGCTAATACTGTTAGAGAATCCATGCAATGTTTACTGCGGTACTTTACACGGTCGGTAGTTTAGATGACGCCATTGTTGAATCGAGAGGCTACATGTTCCCCACCGGCGTCTCTCTCCCCCACCCTCCGTTTTGATAACCATTTGTTTGAAACATTCAGTACAGGTCTCCTTCCAACTAAAGACCAGTTTCTTGGTAGCTACACATAAGTTCTGAGCTCGTTCTACACAAAATCCATTACAATAAAAACATCAACTCCTCTAACAGAATCGGAATTCAAAATGGAACATGTATACATAGGCCTATACAATGAAATCACTATTTATATTTTCATAGTAGGCTTTATTTGAAGGGAAAAATTTTCAGTTTGGTCTGGCAAAACCATTCATCTTTGGTACGGAGAATTTCTATAGTTAAAGACCGGTACTAAGTGTGGTCTTTAAATTTATATATTTAGAGTGTAATTAAGAAATAATACATTAAATGTTTTAGAATGGGTGTGCAGTTACAACATGCTGATATTTATTCTTAATAAAGGATTTTCGAAATTCAGCCATCAATTACCCTAAGCAACTTCCCATTAAATTACTAACATCACTACTAACATTATCGTTACCCAATATGCACAAAACATGTGCACTGGCTAATATTTTTAAGTCCTGTAACAAAATTCATTTTAGAAAAAATACCACTTAACGTCACTATTTATTTTATAGTTGGTCTTTAATTTGTGGGAAATTTTTCATTTGGGTCCGCCAAAAAACCAAGGTCTCTATATAGAGGGAGTCTTTAATTTGAGGGAACATCTAATGTTAAAAGATAGGGATTAAAACGGGGAAAAAGTGGTCTTTAATTGCGTGTCATGCAAACTCGGCAGTAGGCCTCACACAGTCGTCAAATATCCCACGCTACATCAATTGTATTTAACCTACATCCCCTAGAGAATAAATTTAGTATATATCTTTATGCATTTTATTGCTATATTTTATATAAAATGACATTGACCTTTAATTGGCATTTACTACTAGAAATTGTTGTCCATTAAAACGTCTTTAAATGTGATTTATTAATAACATGGGAGACGATAAGTGTTACGTCATATATTTTCTTTAAGCGTTTTGGTCCCTTAATATATCGAAACATTTTATCGGCTACAAGTGCGACGACTAGTTACAAATCAGGTATCAATGATAAGGTACAAAACTTGTCTCAAGTGAAATATATAATTTGAAAACTTATGAGGCATAACATTAGGAGTGGAACTGAAACGGGTTGTCGTCGGTCAAGGTGGTTTTACCTACAGTACCAGAGTTCAGGTTAAAATCCTGAATTTCTAAAATATTAAAATGATAATAATAAATAATGTGTTTTAATATTCTACTACGCGACTGCCCCCGCACACCATCGCGTCTGCGTTCAACTCACACAGACCCGACGCGACAACAAATCGCGTCGGGCTGCGTCGGCCGACGCTGTCTGAGTTGGTCTTTATACATCAATGTATCTGTGCTATAACAGCTACTAACTAAACTGTTGACAGTCTAAATAAGGCCACAAAGTAGCGAGTTTCAACATAAGTAGGCCCTATTATTATAACAATAAAAGCAATAAATAATACCATAGTTGGAAGAATTTTTAACACGAAACACTTCAGGTCACTATGCAGAGAAACATGATAAATTGTGTTGATGAGAGAAATTTTGCTGTAAGCTTACTGTAGTCAAAATACTTCCACAGTTAGGGGAGTCGGGTGGGGTTTAGGGATGGCTAACAGTAACAGCGCTTCGTAACAGCCAAAAAAAAAAAAAGCTTTATACAAGTACTTACCAGTAATACGATGATTTGAAAATTAAATTTTGCAGGGGCGGTTCCAGAGATGGCTGGAAAGGGGGAGGGGAGAATGGGGGCCAAAAGTGGACCAAGCGAGACAAAATTAGTGTGGGCGTGGGTGGGGTCAGAAAAATTTGTTTCCTAGGCGCCCGAAAATAACATCTGAGGTGTTTTGGGCAATCAATTATTTCTTTTCTTTTCTTTGCCTCCTAAATCCGCGCCTGGTTTAGGGGATGAAGTTTTCTTCGTCCGGCGTTCACACACTCGTATCTTTGCAGGTATTGTTAAGCTGATGTCCCCATATAGGCGACTTTCAAGTTTGCACCTGAACCCCATCTGGGTCAAGGCGGACTGTTTTATGCCATTTTTTGTATTACTAAGAATTCATAACCAATCCTATTATAAAATATTTCATATTGTATGGCGGTGGTAGAACCATATTTGACTAGAGGCCACGTGTATTTTAATTTACATTTTGTACGTTGTCTGTGACTGTTAAATTGACATTTGAATCTCGAGGTGGAGATGGGTCATTGAAAATGCACTGTGTAGGGTCAAAAGGTAAAAATATAAACCAAATATAGACCTATTGTACATATAGGCCTAATATTGTAAAGGTAATACGATAATTTGTTATGCGAGATATCTGAGAGAACCCCAAAAAGTTATCCTTACTATTCTAATCTACTTGAGACAACAATATTTATGGCTGTCTCAGCTACTACTGCTGTTGCTACCAGGCTGCTACTACTATTGTTGCTCTTACTGCTACTAGGCCTCTATTGCTGCTGCTGTTGCTGTTTTTGTTGCTACTGCCATTGCTACTATTGCTGCTACTATTGCTGCTACTACTACTGAACGAATGGATGAATGAAATGTTATAATTTATTGTTATATTCTACTTGTATATTTATTTATTATTAATTTAGAATAAAACAAATTAAAATAATACTGACTAATTATACCATCACAATAATTTGGCTATAAATTGGCCTTAAATCATTTTAGTTGTTGGTGTTTTTACATGGTGAGAAATGTGTGCATTTTGAGAAGCGCCATCGTCCTTAGCGCTACTAAAATTGCGTGTGCCCTATTGACGCTGTAAAAGTAATTGTTGATTGATTTATTCATTCATTAACTGACTGACTGAATGATTGATTACGTTTGATTAATCGATTGATTGATTATGTTCGGAATCTTACAGATTGCGTTAATAGGAACGGTGTACAATATAGGTGCCTTAGCTGTACAGTTATTTGTGGTGTATTTCGGCGGCAAACGATCTAGGAACAGACCACGATGGATTGGTGTTGGACTTTTGTTTATAGCACTTGCAACTATTATAATGTTTTTACCACAGTTCATTTATGGAGAGTACAAATACGAGTTCCATACGAATTCAACGGGAAACCTATGCCGTTTGAACAACACCGATTACGAAGGTGAACATTTTTTTTTACTTTGCTATAACTTTTTAAAACTTTATTTATTGTTTTACTTACCGGTATTTTGAGTTGAGGCCAGTGGCGGATCCAGGATTTTGAAATAGAGGGGGCACAGAGAGGGACTTTCACAGATGGAGGGTCTATGCTACCGCAGCCCCACCATGGTTGGGGCTGAGATAAAAAAAATATGATTATGGGCATCTCTAGATGGCCGGAAATGGCACTCTTAGACTTAAAATTTGAATAGAATTTTTTTTATTTCTATTTTTTTTGTACATTTTGAAAAAGGGGGGGGGGGCGGTTCCCCCCTCTTTAAATCCGCTACTGGAGGCAATGTACAAATTCAACACTAATATATAATTATTTCATATTTTTAGAATGTTCGGCAGAAGAGCAGGGACAGAATGAAGACAACGAGAGGACCTATGCGTTTCTTGCTGTTGGAGCTGCTATAGCAGGGGCAGCCTGGACTCCAGTTAAACCACTAGGATTCTCATATATTGACGATAACACTAATAGTGGAAATTCAGCGTTTTATATAGGTAAGAAATTCTTTTTAAACGTCTTAATGCCGGATTTTGTCACCAAAGAATTGGGCAATTTCTCTTTTAATTTTACGTCCGCTTTTTATTAAAGGTATTGTCAACAGTATGTATGGTGTAGGGTCAATACTTTCGTTCGTTGTTTCGTCGTTTTTCATCAAACTGTGGGTAGACTTTTATCGCGTCGACACAGCAACTATCCCCCTGACAACGGACGATGACCAATGGGCCGGCGCGTGGTGGCTTGGCATCATCATTACTGGCTTCATCATCTTTGTATCAGCTTGGCCATTCTTTGGCTTTCCAAATCAACTGCTCGAAAGACCACCCAAAAAGATGGAAGAAAAAGAGTCAGACACAACCAATAAATGTGGTAAGTTAAGCGAAAACGTTTCAAAGTTATCGCTAAATTATAACACACATTAATATTTTACATTTGGCTGGGCGTTCTTACCAATTAATGCATGATGCATTTGTGAAATGTTTAAATCTTTGAATCATACATTTTTAAATAGGCCTAAGCAATTTTTTTTTCAGGTTTACCGCGATCAGCTTGGCGATTGTTTAGAAATTTACCTTTCATGACGGTAAACCTTGGTTTTGTGACTACAATAGCAATTGTCTTCGGAATAACTAGTTTCATTCCAAAATATTTTGAAACGCAGTTTGGACTCTCTACTGCAACCGCAAATCTTCTTACTGGTAAGATACACACAATAGTAAATAAGGCTATGTTTTCACGAATAAATAAATTCAGAGAATTCCGATCTATCGTTCTAAAAACTTATCTAATATATAGATGGCCGGTAGGACCATACGGTATTCATAGTTACAAAAATATTCGTTGTGCTTCGCTGTACAGTACCGTAAGTCTGTCGTTTGACCCAAATAATATTGACTCTATTTTTGTGGGATATGGTGACAAGACTCGTGTGCAAGTCATTTGTTCGAAATATATCGATTATATTCATAAAAGTGATTTATTAAATTCGGTTATGTTCGTTTTGTTGATATTTCCAGATAAAGTGTGGTACCCATAATTCCCTCCGGGAATTTATCAAATGGTTGTCGACAAAAATCCCCACAAATAATAAAATTACATTTAACCTAATTTTTAGTAGCCTTGAGAGTAACATTTTATTACGAATTTTATGGGAATTGGAAAACTGCCAAACTCCTCTATGGTGTTCTAAAACATGTTTAGTGGTACCTATATAAACGAGGTATTTTATCACATCAAGTATAAGATATGAAAACTAAATGTTCAAATAAATTTGGATTCAATAACTTTCAAAACCTGAAATTCCATTTTTTTATAACTTTTGTTTTACATTCAATTTTAGGTACTGTTAGTGTCTTTGTGAACATACTGGGATACAAATACACTTTATATGAAAACTAAATGTTCAAATAAATTTGGATTCAATAACTTTCAAAACCTGAAATTCCATTTTTTGTATAACTTTTGTTTTACATTCAATTTTAGGTACTGTTAGTGTCTTTGTGAACATACTGGGATACAAATAGACATTAAAATCACTGTGCATAGTTTAACTAAACACCTCAAAAATAAAATCCTTAGTAGCTTATTCCACAACCAATGGATCTCTTTGCCACAGGTTGTTTTTTTTTATATTCTGGTACGAGTATATGACGTCAGCATCCCGTTGGAAATGACATTAAAAGTTTGGTTGGTCATGAAGCAATATGACAGGGGTAGCGCCAGGATTTGCACGACGGGGGATCAGAGTTCCCCGACGAGGGCTGATGTCTCCGACGAGAGCAAAGTGGGCGTGGTCAGGAGTCGCTTAAAATATATAGAAAGTGGTCCAGGGATCGAAGTCCCCGACAATTTAGGAGTTTCAAAGTCTTATTTAGATTTTAGAGTCTATTAGTATGTAGAAAATACATATACATTGTGGTTTTCTTCCCGACGCTGGGGGTGGGGGACTTTCACCGACGGGGCCCTTCCACCAGCCTTCCACTGGCGCCACCCCTACAATATGGTGCGTGGGCACTAAATGCGCGTTAGACGTATTTCAAAGTCTCAATATTTAATTCTTATGTATAGGCCTATTTTTGTATATTTTAAAAAGGTTTAGTTCCGGTACCAGCGTTCGGATTGGGACAACTGGTAGGTGGTTACTTGATCAAGAAAACCAGAGCTGGAATTACCGAGTCAGCAAAAGTGTTGTTCATTACTAGCGTTATCACGTTAACTGGCCTTCTAATAATGCTCGGTCTGGGGTGCAGTAGCGGGCCGATAGCTGGGATAACAGCGTCTTACGATCAGCATAGGTAAGCCTTACTAAGATTGACATTACTTATATAAATAATAAAAACATTTTATGAACCTAAAACCGGACACTCTCTGCGTCGTACGGCCGTCGGCCGACAAATCCAACTCCACTCCCCGTAAGCGTTATACGACGCGACGCCGTCTGCTGATTGTCGGTGGCAATCTGAACGGATCCTAGTTAAAAAAGTTTCGTTGCGCGCGCGTCGTGGCGTTGCATTGTCCGATGCGTCGAACGATTGAATTATTAGTTTATTATTAACGGTGATTTTTATTGTAATCATTATTGTATCCATAGTGATAGCCTTAAGCTGCTTTCCGAATGCAATGCAGACTGTAGCTGTCCAGAAATTTATGATCCTGTTTGTGGAGATGACGGGCTCACTTACTTTTCACCCTGCCACGCTGGCTGTGCCGATGAGACAAACCAGGTAAAGACAGGGTGTGTCATATGCATTCCGCCCATCCCCGTAAGTCCTTATCCAAAGTGAATTCCCGCTTCCGTCAAATTCACTGCAGTCCGAAATCCCTGGCGCCCACTGTAATGTAATTATGGTCAATGTCTACGTCAAATTTGGATTGAATTATCTAGGCCCACTTATTAAAAATGTATAAAATATATTATAGATAAGATTGATAAGATAAGATTTATTGGTACACTCCTTTAAAACAAAGGAGGGGTTCGACCCATACAAAACTAAAGCAAATACAGATAGGCCACAATTACTGTATATATTATCAACTGAAAATATCATTATACATCAAATTAAACAAATTAATACAATTGCAATAAGGCATGCAAGAAACTACTAAAGTACATTCGTTAATATCTGACTAATTATATTAACAGAGTAAATTTTAACGGGATCACGTCTTTATAGCCTTAAAAAAAAAACAGGTTAAAAAAAATCTACAAATTGTACAGTAAAAAGATCTAGAGTATTATCATTTGTTGTAAGTGTGTTTTGTGAGTACAGAATGTGTGTGTCAGGGTCGGGTATGCATGTTTTGTGTGTTCAGTATATTATTTGCTGTAGTATCAGCATTTTGTGATTTTTTTTTTTGGTAGGGATTGAAGTCTTGCGCCTGCGTCCAGTCAGAAGAAGCATTTTCCTCTCCGTGTAGCATAACCTGCAATACACTTGCACCATTTGTGGTACTTCTGTTCGTTATAGCGTGCACTAACAGCATGGAGGAAATACCACAAACCATGGTAACGTTGAGGTGAGTACTACAAGCAGACCTTTTATAACAACACTAACAATTTATAGCGGAAACAATGGCACTATGGTCTGCAACTTAGCGTATTTATTAGAAACACAAATATTGCAAACATTTACTCGGGACACAAGATTTAAAAAAAATAATTCACTGTTGCGAATCTCTACATATATATAACGACTAAACGATACGTGTTTCCGTTTTGCCTTCCAGATCGGTAGACGAAGATGATAAAGCCATGGCCATTGGCATGCGAGAAATATTCATGCGTCTATTAGGTAATTATTATTAGGAATATTATGATATATAAGACTATTATACTACTATTAAGACATATAAGACTATTATACTATATATACATATATATAGGCCTATGATATATATATGTATATATAAACAAATAGATAAATAATACTAATAGCGTTGCTTTAATAGAAACATGTAATAATCGAATCAAGCATAGCTC